GTGTCTGTGTGTTGGTGTGTACGAGCGTGATCTCAGCGCACAATCTGATAAAGTGATGCAGTGACGCATGGTTGTACCAGGACAATACCGTCAGGACACGTCATTCTTCCGTGTCGAAATGGCGAATCGTTCCTGCCGGACACGCTTCCCATCGTGACGTCACGCTTGAACGAATGTATCCTTGGCTGCCATTTTACCCGTGCGTGTGTTATTTTCACTCCATCTTCAGTCGATCCTCCGAGAGCGATTGTTCTTAAAGGCTGTGCGTGTGTGCGTGCGTGTTGACGTGTGAGCGAGCACTAAGGCGTGACCGGAAGAGTTTGGCCAGCGGGCGGAGCCAGACTGTCGCGCGTCCGAAACTTTCCCCGCGATCTTACAATCTCCAGTCAAAACACCAACGGGAAATAGATCTTAAAGAATGTGGTCTTTTTAATAAAGAATGAATAACTGTCTCTTACAGAACATGAAGAATCACGACCAATCCCTCTAAAACACCAAGATACCCGAAACATAGAGCCCATATTACCATAGACGTTCCGAACAATACAAATCCAATTACCCCAAAACACATCAGCTGATCTGCGATGAAACGGAAACGTAAAAGCGTAAGTGAACCTTCCTTGCCGACTCGACGAAACATGAATGGCGAGAGAACTAACCTGCGTGACTGAACGCGGATATGAATGGCGAGAAAGTTTAGTGTTGGAGTAAACTTTCGACCGTCGGGGAGACACGTTCGCCCAACCTTTACGAGGAAATGTGTCGATTCGTGATAAACCACGTTGTATTTTTGTTTCATTTTTTGTTGTTCTTAGCCTTAGATTACCAGATAGATCTTTAGACTGTCCAGAATCAAAATCAACAAGAGAGATACTACTCGATAAGTGTTCTTCGTAATAACAATAATAGAAGGTAGCATTTTTTTTTTTTTTAATCACAAGCATACACATACATACAATACACAAACACTATCAATACAACAAAGGAAAAATAAAACACTAAAATACTCTAATATTACTTCCCTTCCCGGCTTGCTAGACTGCAATGATATCATGTTTACATTATCGAATTTACCTTACACGCAAATTTCATGAAACCCCAAATTATTACCAACGAATCCAACATACACATAATCAGATAACAGACATATTAGAACAACATATTACGTATACAACATAAACAATCCATAATCGTCTACAGAAACAGAGTGTGCAAGAGAAACATAAAAGAATCAATCGTTGTATTTAACCTTTAAAAAATTAACATTTAAAATAAAGAAACATTTAAAAAATCAATCACTGTACAGCTACTTCGGTATAATCCCTGTGGTTGGATTTCCCATGAAAACGGGAAAGATTTTATGATCCTCTCGTGTTCTTCCTTATTACTCTATCCTTGTTTGTGGAGCAATTTTTTGTCTTTCCATCTTTGAGGAAATGGTCTTGAAAATTGACCTTGCATGGATATATTACCTACAATGTATATATATATATTTAGACTTTCTATTTTGTTTACGTTGGTAAGGTCTCGTCTTTTTCTTTGTCTAACTGGGCACAATATGTCGAAATCCTTGTACGATGGGAAAGGAAATTGTGAATAATGATAATTCTAAACATTTTTTTCTGTCTCTACTAGATATTGGTATTAATATACACTTTTTTTATTTGTTCTTGTTACTCTCAAGAGCACCACTGGTTTTATTAACACTGTATATATAAAAAGAAACTTTTATCAAGTTACTGATGATGAAACACAGGCAGTTTATCGAAGCAGAGAATATTTCGTTTGTGGAGAAATCAATATAAACCAAACAACACTCATTTTCGTAGTAGTTGGAATATAAAGTTTCTCGAAACGTACCTTATTCTTTGCTTCGAAAATTCTACCTCATCGCATTCCTTATATTTTATTTTCTTGTACTCTGTCTTTCCCGATCATCTTACGTATTGAAAAAAAAACGCAAATTATTTATATGAAGTAACCGTTTCCACGACGAAACCCGACACTTTCTTCTATAACTTTCCTACATCGACCCAAAAAAAAAACCCGCAAAGTTCTTCGTGTTTTCTCTTTCCATTTCGGTTGAGTGAAATTATCCGGTTGTGTGAGATGTGTGGACACTAGTAAACCGAGAGAATAGACGACATCATGATCTTAACAACACTAACTCCTTAATAGCATTAGCGATAGTGTTTTTTTTTTTACAGTAACATTTGTCAGATTATTCTGCCTGCATTAGTAGTTTCCATGAGAATAATTCACTACCATTGCCTTAGCATGTAATTAATTAGATTAGAAGATAAAGAGTTATCCAGTCATTAGCCTTTGAACTAATCAAATCTACGTTGCAGTAGCTAAGTAGATAATAGAGACGCACGGATCGTAGATGAAGGTGACTGCGACAGCTGACCTAAACTTGTGGCATCGCGAAGATTTGACCCGAGTTGACCTCAGTTGACCCCAGCTCACGTGGCATGTCTCGCTGTCGATTCTTTTTCAGGCAACCCTACCAGAAGCGAACTTATCGAATACCCAAAACTAAACACCTATACCATTGGCGGAGAAAATACAGATCCGTTCACATTGGGTAAGTTGGCAGCCTTGGCCAAGAAGAGTTGGCAGCCCTGCGGTGCATGTGACGTCACCCAGGCCCTTCTTCCTCTGTCCTTCTGCACGCGTCCGACGGTCTTCTTAGAGAATGAGCTTGTAGATGTCATTCACTGAAAAAAAAAAAAAAAAAATAGGATCCCTAAAACGAAAATGATTAATAGAAGAATGATTGAAAGACACACAAATAGTCACTATGTTTTCTTCTATTAAAAATTATCGATAGGAGGCCTTATACGTGGTCGGGTTAGCATGGTCTATGGGTGCACTGCATCGTAGACGGAGTTGTTGCCAGGTAGCTAGTATGAGCACCAGCTTTTGGTAGTTGTAGAGTGTCCTTTTAGTGTGTAATAATAACGAAAAATAAGCAAGCAGAATCAATATGCGACGATCTATTATTTTTTTCAATTTAACGTTTTTATGGGGAAAGGAGTGCCGTTTTTTTTTCTTCTAAGTTACATTTTCCAGATTTTGTACCATTAAAAGGTTTCACTAAAAGATTTTGTGCATATAATTCCAAAGATGTTTGAAGGTGAGGCAAATATATATATGTAAAATATGTTTAACAATGAATCAAGCAAACAATAAATTGGTTTTGTGTACAGTATATAAATTGATTTTTAAATATTTCTGTTTGCCGTGCATCTAATATATTTTTTTTCCTTTTAATCCCTCTCACCTTATATAAGCACTCATTTTTGTTCTATTTTTTAGAAAAAAATATGAAAATAACCGATATTCTCACATTGTTTAACTCTTAAATTCAAGACTGTAATTATAAACCAATGTCCGCTAAAAATCATTCTACTTGTTCAGAACCTTTGCAAAAGAGCTTCATTAAGGCTTCGAACCTAAATAAAGTCGCAATGCCAATATAAAGCCAATATAAAGCCAATATATAACAGAATCCTTCGCATTCGCTTTTCTGAATGAAATAATAACATGCACATTTTGCTTGACCTCTCACCATAACCATAAAAAAAAAAAAAAAAAAAAACATGAAGACAAAAATACCATAACATACATATCTCATGAATCATACCATATAATATCTTGGATGTATTAAAGCTTTGAGCACAGCGATACACTCCAACCTTTATAACACGTAAAATCCTTCAGGCAAGACCACAGTAACAACAATAACAAACCACAACCCAGCAGACAACACTAACTCTCACAAACAGTCCACAAATAACCGCCACGCCCCCGCTAAAACAACCTCCCGCCCCTTGCAGTAGCCTCGGCCACCGCCCAGCTCGCGCCTGTTTACAACCCCGGAGGAACCCCAGAGCCTGTGGTCGTCGAAGCCACCCCTACTGCCGAAGCCCCGACGGAGAAACCCGCTGCAGCCGCCGAGTATGTGACGAAGACGGTTTACGGGTTCCTGGACTTCACCACGACCGTCGGTTCTACTGTTATGATCTTCACGCCGCAGAGTCAGAGTGCAAGTAGGTGTTTACATGTTTCGTTCAGTTCGGCCATGGTTCTCCCCGGGCTTTTATCTCTAAAGTGGCCCAGCATGTTGTTTCGAGTAATTACATTGGGTTAGGGTTGTTGTGGTTGTTAGGGATCTCGAGGGATTGGGAATATGTGATTTTTTGTTGTCACTGTTGTTGGGCATTAAGTGGTTGGGAATATTAGATTATTCTTTTTTTCATTTTAGATTGATTTGCATATTGGGTGACTGTGGTATTTTCTTCTCTCGAAATGTCTTTGCTCTTACTATTTCTTGTCCCTTTTAATTACTAGTTACATCTTATTGATTTTTTGCTGATCTGTAATTATTCCTTCTTCTCTTGTTTATGGTATTCCTTCCCCCACGCCAGATGTCATGTTCTTAATCGCCTCTGTTTGTTTGTTTTGCTTTCCACACAATTTCTCCCACGAAAGATATCTCTCTGGCATCCATCTCCACGCATCTCTCCCTTCGCCTCCCCTTCCTTACCCAAAACCCATTTCTACGTTTATTCATCTCCTCTTGGTCCTCCCTCCATCCGCACGCAGCGTTATTCTTGTTTATTTATTCGTATGGGTTTTATGCCTTGCCACCTCTCGTCTATTATCCTTCACGTTTTTGTTACTTCTCTCTTCTGTTTTTGTTGCTTTCTTCACTGATCTAGTTGTTTACATTGTTCTCACTTTTGATGCAGTTTACATACAGACGCACACATATACATATATGTGTATGTATGTATACACACACATACATACATACATAAATATTTAAATATATATATGTATATGATATATATACACATATTTATATACATGTACATATTATGTATATGTATATATATACACATATATATGTATATATATACATATGTATATTCATGTACATATTATGTACATATACATACATACACACACCTATATATATATACATATATACATATATATATATATATACATATATACATATATATATATATATATATATATATATATATATATATACATATACATATATATATATTATATATATATATATATATATATATATATATATGTGTGTGTGTGTGTTGTGTGTGTGTGTGTGTGTGTGTGTGTGTGTGTGTGTGTGCTCATATATGCACATATACATATGTATATACATATTATATATATGTATATACATATATGTGTGTGTGTGTGTTTGTCTGATATAACAAGATATGAAATTATTTTTTTTCAATTTTTCTTTTATTGTATTATGTTCCCATAGCTTTCTTTTTAATGTAATACTTTATAAACAGTCAGCCTTCTATTGAATGCATGGAGCGCAATTGTACTAAATGTTTCATCATCATCGTCATTGCTATCATCATCAGCAGCAGCATCTTTGTTATCGTCATCATTAATATCATTATCATTGTCATTATCATCTTTATCATCACCGTCGTCGTCTTCTTAAAATCACCATTCTTCTTTTTATTGTTATGTTATTATTACTATTACTATTATCATTATTGCTATCATCATTATTGTCCTTCTTGTTATCAGTCAATTCAGCATCTTTTACGGTATTTATAGTACGAGTGTTTGTACACACGTGCGTTCTCGGGCACTCATTCACTCACTCTCTTAATCACTTACGCACATTGTTTTCTTTTTTTTTTCCTTCTTTTTCGTTTTCTTTTCCTTTTTCTATTATTTTTTTTTCTTCTGCTTCTTCTTTTTCTTCTTCTTCTCCTTCTATTCCTCCTACTCCTTCTTCTTCTTCTTCTTCTTTTTTTGCTTCTTTCTTTCTTTTCTTCTTTTAATCTATTCCTGTATGTGATGACAGAGTCGTCAGGGAGCGGCAGCCTCTGAGAGCAGCGACCATGAGCCTCAAGCAGACAAATCTTAATTTCCCGAACCTTTTCAGAGCCGAAGCCCAGTAAGACTCGAGACCCCGTGCTGCCTTCGCGCCTCAACCGCCCATCTTCCCGCATTACGCTACGACCGACGCCCACACCCACGCCCACGATCCCCAAAGTGACTGCCACTCCAGCTCCCTCGGTTCTCCCTTCAAAGCTCCCCGCAATTTCCTCCTCCTCCACCCTTCAGTCGTCCTTCTTCGAGGATCACACCGCCCTTGACATCGAGACGCTCTTCGACGTCAGTCCCGACGAAGAGATCGCCATCGACTACGACGCCGAGTATCCGGAGTACGAAGAGCCGGTGTTCGAGGAGGTGATCGAGGAGGTGAAGGAAGAAGCGAGGAAGCCCACCGCGGCCCCGACTCGCCCGAAGCCCTTCCGCCGGTTCAAGTCGTCCTCCTCCCAGGAACAAGGCAACCGCCGTCGTCTGGACCTCAACTACTTCAACAGCCGCAAGAAGACTCCTTCCCTGCGTCGCCAGACCGGAGGCTCCACCATCGTTCCCATCACGATCGAGGGCACGGGTACCTTCGCCCCGAAGTCTACGTCGGTGATCCGCCCCACGGTGGTGCCCACCACGCCCTCGGAGGTTGTCGTTAGTGCTACGCAAGGATTTGCAACTCTTAGTGTCATTGGGCCGTTCAGTACTGCTATCAACAACGAACTGGGTCAGGTTAAGGAGCACTATGACTTCCTGTCTTCAGCACCTGTCTTAGACGTCGAAGAGACGTACGATGTGTATGATGTGGAGCCTACAGCCTCACTCGAGGACCTGTACAGTTCCGGTTTGGTAACAAGTGATTCGAGCTTCCCCACTGGTCTTGTCACCAAGCTTGGCGGCACCATTGTGTCAGATGGCCTCATCACCGTGCACGAAACCAGTGTCATTGGTACATACATCGCAGGCCAGTATGCCCAGATCTTGCAGAGCACGTCGCACATCTTCCAAACCACTCCCGTCCCCGAGATTTCCTTGAACAGTCCATCTCTCCCAGAAGACTATGAAACTGTCAAATCAGTCATCAAAGGCTCCGCTACGCAGTTCTTGAGTCCCGAATCTACTGCGTCTCTGCCGCTCGAGTCCCTCTTCTCAGAGCCTTCAAGCCGAGAGCGCAACAGCCGGAAGGACGAGGAAGGAGGCTCGGCCATCCAGGTTCGCCTCCGCGAAGCCTTGGCCAAGCGCCTTGGGTCAAGCCAGAGCCAAAACACTCGTCAGGATCGTTCTCGCCTCGCCCAGGACCCTTACGTCGACGAGGAGAAGGATGAGTTTGACCTCAAACTCTCAGGATCGGATCTGCGTCCCTCCTTCGGGTTCCGAGGATCAACGCCCGTCACCAGGACACCCCGAGTGAGCACTCTCTACGCCGAGGAGGTCAAGCCCACCACCTACCGCCCGAGGTTCAAGCCGACCTCCACTCGCCGCTTTGGCAGCAGCCGGCCGACGTCCGTGCGGTCCCCTCCCAACGCTCCCTTCAGACAGACGCGACCTGCCAACCGCTGGCGACTGAACACGTCGCCAAGACCCAAAGTAAACATCAACAGGCGCCCCGTCAATCAGCCAGATACTTATGATGATCTTCAGGCTGCTGACGAATCTCAGTCCATTTCCCGCCCAACTGCACCCGAGCCCATCATTCCTGAAGGGGGAGAGGAGACCCTGAGGATTGTGACCAGCACCCCGGCTGACGGAGCCACGGATGTCTGGTTCGAAGTGGCCACCATCAGGTCGCTTCACACGTTCCGCGTCGGCACCACAAAGAACACGCGTTACGTCACGTTCACGAAGACCACGACCCACAGCATCGACCCGACTCCGGCGCCCCTTGGACCACAGGACGACCTCTACGAAACCCCGCTCTTTGAAAACATCTTGGACGATGGACCTCGCGACGTGTCGACCCTTCCCCCAGTCGACCTCGGTGAAAGTGACGTGACCGCCCTGCTCGAGACGGTGACGGAGACCTTCAGCACAACGGAGCTGATGAAGAAGACGTCGATTCTTCCCGTGCTGCACGCGGGCGAAACCTCGTTCTACACCCTGACGCAGACCTACCACATCACCCGCGTGGTCACCGCACTCAAGACAATGCCGCCCTATGAGGCATTTTCCTTCATCCCAGAAAACTCGCTGAACGAGTTCAATGGCCAGCTTTTGGCGGAGGGAACCGAGAACGACGAGTCGCTTTTGCCTGGCGAAATCGAGTATGATGAAAATGGCGAAATTGTTGACACGACAAGTGGCACTCGAGTGCCTCCTCCACCAGGATTCCCCTTCCAGGACCCCAACCTTGCAGAATTAGCTGGAGGTCAATTCAATCCCGACGTTTTTGAGAAGCAGCTGCACCCGCAATTGACAGCCGCTCTTCAGCACAGGCAACAGATGCAGCAGAAGCAGGGCAGTGCCGCACGACCTCAGCTAAGCTCAGGTCAGCTCGCTGCTCCCGGAGACCCAGCTATTGCAACTCCGAGCCTGACAGCCGAGCAACTGCAGCAGCTGGCGTACCTCCGCCTCATCAACCCCTACGGCTTCGGCGGATTCCCTCCCGTCCAGCAGCAGCAGCAGACCACCGTCACCTCCTCCCCGGTCACCATCACCACCGACATCACCACCACGTCCACTCGCGTCCTCCGCGTTATCTTCAACGCCCGCCCCATCTTCACCACCATCAGCAGCGTCGAAGTCGTTCACACGACCATCACCTCTTTCGAGACGGCAACTGTCACCGTCGCCCCCACCCTCCCCTCCTTCCCCTTCCCCTTCCCCGGGTCTCCCTTCCCGGTGGGATAAGGAGGGCGTTCGCAAAGAGCCTCGAGAGCGAGCGAGGCCTCAGAGGGCGACGGAGGAGTGGTCCCCGCCCTGTTCCCGCCCACTTCCTTGACGCCGAGTGCTGGCACTCTGCACCTAACCTCTACTAACCCCTTGACAGTCTGGCGATCAGTGTCCAGGCGTGGAAGGTTATCATCAGGTCTTCATTCTGACTTCCGGCAAAGAGGAAACAAGCGCAGGGGAAGGGGAAAATGAACAGAAGCGAAAGGAAAGTGTGATGGGTAAAAAAAAAAAGATCTTTTTGATACTATGAAACAAAACGCTCATTCTTCCCTTCTCCCTTAATCACTCGATAATGCATCTATTATCCAAGAAGGTTTTGTTATTGTAGGATATTGACTACATAGAGTGGACTCACAAATGCCAAATAGCTGAAGCATCACTTTTACGGAATTAAATGGCACTAGATCCCGTAACGATCACACTTTATCAATGAATCATTATTCGGTGTTACAGTTCGTCCAGCGAATGGCACCCAATCCTGATCATTCTGATACTGGGCAGGTGATCAGTGTAATAAACATAAAACAAAGAAGCCATTAGATTTCGATATATGTTCAATACTGGACGACCAAAGGGGGTAGTTGAGTGCATTCGATCGGCCATCAAACACTGTCACTATTTCTTTGTTTGATAAGAATAGCAAAGAATTGTCGACAAGGTTACTGACTGACTGTTCCTTTCACTCTTTGATAATAGATTGTCCTCCGTTTCTTATTTTGAACTTGAGCAGTGGATAAGTAGATTGTTTTAGAGTTATACTATTAGGTTATTATTCAGATAGATAAAAACAAATGGATCTGTAGGTTAACTAATGGAAACATGTTGAAACAAATACATACATACAAACAAACACAGCCACACGCATACACACGCACACAAAGTAATAATTTCAAGCAGTTTCTTCATATTATTTTCTCCATAGTATTTCATCTTTTCTTCAGGGAATCGGTCCATTTAAAAAAATAAAAAAAAAAGTTTCAGGATGAATATAAAACTCATGCTTTCTGCAAATCCGTCTTACTGGCAACGGGGAACAAATTCCTTAAACCAAAATTCCACTCCCGACTTCTATCATTCTCTATAATCTATCTAGAAAAAAAAAGAAGAAAAAATAGACAAGTCCCTCCTCTCGGTTAGTTTGGAAACTTAGGTGTAACTTTCTTAAACTATAACTTATACTCCGGTATAGATTCTCGCTACAAATGAATTGCTTTGGAAGTTCATTTGTATCGCCGTTTTATGTGTGTTTTAGATTTTATTATGATATTTTATGATATTAAGATATTTTATGATGATTAGGAGTGAAGAATGTAAATAAGAGAATGGGTATTTTGTAAATAGATGTAAATATAGATAGGCCTCTCCCAAGCCCATTTGATTATTCTTCATGAACGATAGCTGACTAATAAACATTTCGTAAAAAAGAAAGATTTATTTTTATTTCAACCTATACCTATATTTTTTATTGCCATTTTGTTATTCAATTACTATTATCCTCATTATTATTAGGTTTATCATTATCGCTACCACTACTGTTGTTGCTTTAACAGTAGTGGTATCATTACTGATAATAACATAATTCATACTCAATATTGTCATAATCACATTTACCATCATTGTTATGCATATCATCACAATTGTTGCAATGACTGGTTATCATTTTCCACGAACTATATTCTAACATGTCAGTGATACCTAAATGTTCTTGAATTTGAACAAACCTGGACTCCATGTGTTCATATTTCTTAACCCTAATTCTTCTTTATATGTTCATAAAAGCGGGTTTCTTGCAACTTTTGTTCACTGGAATGGTCTTTGAAATATGAACTTTTCATTAAAAGTCTTGTCAAAAAGTATACGAAAAAACGGCAGATGTCAACCATCAACTTGTGTCTTTAAAATCTAACGTATATCACAATACACAAGTTGTGCTATAAATTCAAGGCATTCATGTCCATGGGTCTAAAAGCATTTATATTACTGTAGCTATTGAACCCACTTCAAGACATGCAAAAGGCTTCTTTGTAACCACTAAACTACTCATTCTCGCATCACAGTCGTTAGAACTTCCTCCCTTTCCTGCTACCAAACTATAATTCGCTCTCTGTCTCTGTCTCTGTCTCTCTCTCTCTCTCTCTCTCTCTCTCTCTCTCTCTCTCTCTCTCTCTCTCTCTCTCTCTCCTCTCTCTCTCTCTCTCTCTCTCTCTCTCTCTCTCTCTCTCTCTCTCTCTCTCTCTCTCTCTCTCTCTCTCTCTTCTCTCTCAAAAAAAAAAAAAAAAAGCACGATATGTATTTTTTCCTATCGTTTTATTTTTTCCACCTCATTTCCCGCCACTGAAATGTCAATAACAAAGCCAATAACGTCGTCAAAATGGTTAAATAAATAAACATTTAAATGACTGGATTAAAGCACCGTTGTCTTTAAGCATTAATAAATCAGCATCCATATAATCTATCTTATAACGCATACAATAAATTATTAAGTAGATAAATAAAACAGCATTAGCTTTGAACATATGTAAATCAATATTCACATTATTCCTCTTATTACTACAAACCACTCAATTTTCTCCTAATAAACTACTAGTGTCATTGATGACAGTTTCTATGCCTCCATATTCTGTTATCACAATGTAATATTAACGTGAATTCAGTACAGTTTACGCAGAGAAACTTTTTTTTTTCGAATGCATCAGGAACTGTAATCTAGATTCTAGTAGATTCTATTCTATATCAATTTTAACCATATGCAAGTTCCTTTCGTCTTGTCCTTTGTTCATGCTGTCTTATTTTTTATTATTATTATTATTATTATTTTTTTGTGTATTCACGTTTTGATGCGAGATTCAGCCTTGGTACTTTCAGCAAAATTGTTTAAAAAAAAAGATATTCAAAAGTTAGAAATTAGAAAATAAATTCTTTTGTGATATGATGCAAATAATTGTTGAATACTTATATTATAACACACACACACACACACACACACACACACACACACACACACACACACACACACACACACACACACACACACAAACACACACACACACACACACACACACACACACACACACACACACACACACACACCTACACACTCACACTCACACAAGCCTACATAAATTATCCATGCACTGATGATACATTTCACACACACAAAGACACCATACACACAATAAATCTGCTTCTCCACAGTAAAAAAATACAATAACTAGAAGCACTCAGACAGCGCATACCTCCGTCAAGCGGATAATAAAAGTAACAATAATAATAATTAATTGCGTCAGTTACCCATATTGACTTGGCGATAGGGGTAACGCAATGAAATAAAAAAAAAAAAAAGATCCTGGATCTGGATTATTTTATGGCACCTGTTTCTCTAAAACACAATTCTGGTAAAACCTCAAAAAAAATCTGCCCACAACTTTTTTTCATCCTGCTAATCAACCAACAAACTAATTAACCACATACACAACCTCCTTGATGAAGGTAACTAGAATATCTAGTAGATTAAAACAACAGTTTACTAGTCGAGATTTTACACTCACAATTAACTCGCAGTGTACCAAATATTAGTAAAATAAGGAGTAAAATAATAGAAACTAAACTCAGAGATCATTTATTTTCATCCAGGTGAAAGAGACAAAAACAAGTAACTGACCTCCAACAGGATAAAAGGGTGAGCGTCAGAAATGAAAAGCATGATACTGAATTAGAGGCAAAATAACTGTACAAAGGACTCACGCTGCGGTGAATTTCTACAATAGAAATGGACTGTGTGATTCTCCGGCAGCTTTCACACAAGACAACCTGCTGCGGTAAATTGTCTGACGCAGCTTTCAAAAATAGATTGTTTGTTTTGAGGGCTTTGAAATGTGACTGTGGTTGTTCGAGCACTTGGCACATTATCGCCGTTAGGAATGCTTCAAATGATGGCACTTTTTGCTGCAAGTGGCCATTGTCGAGGCTTTATAAAGAACATTTGTGTCCAGGAAAGAACTGGCAACCCACACGGAATCTTGAGTACATACATTTGGGAATCTCATTTCAGAAGGAAAATAATGGTATCGGTGGCAACTAATTTAAACAAAACAACTTAATTCTTAAATCAATACACAATTCTAAACATATTTTCGGTCCACTAAATTTCTAATTATCAATAGTGTAGACATATGTAATACATGGTTTTGTGCTTCCTTGCGGAATTTTATTGTAGGTGCTTTTCCAGAATCAATATCTTGTTGTGCCAGTGTTTTTTGCCTGAGATTTAACGAAGTTGTGGTGGGCAGACTATTATATCATTGCGGCCGGGGAATACTTCTCATACACAAACTCATCGTTTTGCTCCTCTCTCTCTGCTTAGCCATACCCTCTCCCTTCTCCTCTGTGCTTCTGGAGATTGGGAAGTCTTTTGGCTCTAGGTACACAGACAGTGGCTCTTCTTTTCTTCCAGGCAATCTGAATCTCGAACGTTAATTAGAATTAATTATATTGAATTTAGAAACAAAGTTTTACAAAAAATCAACAAGAAAATGAAAATAGAATTTAGACAAGAAAATAAAAATCGAGGAAGAAGAGTAAAACAAATAAATAGATATATAAAAGAAATAGGAAATGTGATGTGCGCTTCCATCGAATTATGTATGTTGTTTGCTTTCGTTCTGTTGTGTATATAATATTTGGGCCGGATCGTCGGTGAATAAATGTCAGTTGTGGTTGGGGATGGCAGATTTATTCTCGGCGTTCAGGTAGTTTCTTTGTAGGAGAAATGACAGAGACACTTGGATAGAAAATACTATTAGATAGATATCGATTGGATGCAACGACAACAAATGTCGCTCTAGGAAAAACTATGGTGGGTCTTGAAGTGTTCCACATTGGTGTAGTCGTCTTTTTTGTAAACGAGCATCTTCATTTGACGTGGATTATGTTCTTGTTGAGTGTAAATGTTTGATATGTATATTATGCATTCATCAGACCACTGAATATGCTAACTCTGAGATTTTATTTGTTGCTGATAAATGCAAAGAGCTATCCGTAGACAAGTGATTGAAGTCGTTAAACTTCAGAAAGATTCCGATGTGTGGAGTGTCTGACTCAGTATCTGTGTGCTAGAGACACTAATTTGTCTTTGATAAAAGCTCGACAATAGCAGGAGCATCTGCAGCAAAACAAAGTGCAGTTATTTATAGAAGTCATTCCTAACGGGAGTGATGTGCAAAGGAGTGTGCTTCACGAACACCCAGCAACGCTCACATTTAAAAAGCATCTTGCTAAACGAAACTCAATCTGTAATTTTAATTTAGAGAATACTAGACGTGCGATCAAGAGGGCAGCAATATTAACCGGCAGTCAGTTGTCTTGTCGAGAGTGAAAGCGTGAGCCAGGACGATATCTACACACGTTTGCAGGTAATAAACCCGATGTACGGGAGAGATGAGAGAGAGAAAGATAGCGATGAGAGGCAGAGAGTACGACGGCAGAGATCGAGGAGTAGTAGTGACGGAGACTGAGTAGGAGAAAGATGAGATAGAGATGAGAGAAGAGAGTAGAGATGAACTCACTGGAAGAGATGATTGCACGATGAGTAGAATCAGAGAAGATGGAGGACTGTAGATGGAGTGTCATGTCTGAGAACCGAGCACTCGACAGAGAGAGCTTAGTTAGTACGATGTTGGAAGGTGCAGTGTACTGTTTTTGTGCTTTCAACCTGGTGGAAATAATGATCTCTTGAGTTTAGTTTCTAGTTATGTATGACTTCTGGGTATTTTACTGGATATATTTGGTACACTGCGAAGTTAAATTGTGAGTGTAAAAGAATTCGACTAAAGTAAACTGTGTTTTAATCTACTCGAATATTCTAGGTTACCTTTCATCAGGAGGGTTGTGTAATGTGGTTAATTAGTTGTTGGTTGAATTAGAGCAAGGAATGAAAAAGTTGTGGCGCAGATTTTTTTTGACGGTTTTACCAGAAAGAGTGTGGTTTTTAAGGGAGGGAACAGGGTGCATAAAATAAATCCAGATGCCAGGATGCTTTTTTTTTTATTTTTTTTTTTTTTTTTTTTTTTTTTTTTTTTTTAATAATTGGATTGTTATGGCCCATTTCGCTTTTGTCCTGGGTGTGGAAGGTTCACTATGATATTAGTTTGGGTGTGTGGTTGTTTGTGTTGTTTGTGGTGTGTTTTGTGGTTGTGTGGTGTGTGTGTTGGTGGGTGGGCTGTGTGGTGTTTTGTGTGTGTGGTGTGATTGTATCTGATTGCCTCCTGTCTGGTGTTTGTTTATTTGTTTTTTGTTTTCAGAGAGGTAGATGATTAGAAGGTATGATGAGTGGACGGAGGAGAGATCAGTGGGTAGAGAGAGACAGACTGGAGAGTAGCGGCCCAAACAGATATTCAAGACGCGAGAACAAGACGAGTAAAATATATACTATTCAGCCTAAACAGAACACTTGTAAGAGGCGCACTGCCTCTCCTGACTCCCATTATCTCTCCTAAGACTTTCCAAGACTCGAGGTCAGCGAAGAAAGGAGGTCACTTTAGGTTGCGAAAATTGGTGCTGTCTTACGCGGAATGAGTGAGCTTGCTGTGAGCACCAAGCGGGACCTTGTGCTCTTTCCTCCTCTAGTTGGACTCGCATCCACGTGATGAAGGAATGCGCTCTGGCTCTTGGTCGGCGGGGATTCGACGGGGTACCCACGCCGGATTTCAGGTGCTACGCCGTGTCTAGTCATCCTTATCTGCTGGTGATTGTGACGGCGACCGAAGTTGTCTCTGTAAGATTAATAGATGATATTAATTATTCCTAGTAGATTTTATTGTTATTTTTATAGATTTATTCTATCCTATGTCTTATCTTTAAATGTGGATGGATGTGGTTATTTACTTATTTCATCTTTCCCTCTCAGTGCTCTTGACTCTATTACGTTCTTATATTTGTTTATTTTATTTATAATTAAAATTTTTAGTAGTGTTGATTTGTATGATATTATTGGTATTTGACTATTATAAACACCCGCGGTTTTATTATAACTAAATAAAGATATAAGTGATAATCAATTATGTTTCACTACTACACTCATTAGCGTGTGTCGTATGATATGTTGTACAAATGTATTATGTATGTAAATCGTTATCTATTATCTCTATATAAACACATTCATTCATACATACTCACACATGTGTGCATGTATGTATGTATGTATGTATGTATATATATATATATATATATATATATATATATATATATATATATATATATATACATATATACACACACACACAATATTATCAGTTGTTACATTACAGGTTCCACATGAAAAACACTAATCTATCATAAAACTTGACCACTTAAGGTTGCTGTAACTAGATTTTTAAAAAATCGATTATTCGTTTTCGTGATAATCTGAAGGACAGACCTCGGCATTGACTGAGTATCGTTCAAACCAACTCACTTCCAGAAATGATTTGCAAATTAAGTATTTTAAAAGGAGCAATCCTGTTTCTGAAAAAAAAAAAAAATCGGGAATAGACATTAAAGAATGAAAGTAAACACACTTGACCTGCAGTTACATACAAAAAAAAAAAAAAAAAAAAAAAAAAAAAATCTGTGTACCCAACAGGCCAATTAAATCATAAAACATATAACTACGAAATAATGTCCGCGATCTCTGATAAATCCACTTGCCCGGTTTATATGAAGGTTTGAAAAAACAGACATTAACACTAACTTAAAATGGTTTCAAGACTACGTTTTATCAAAGAATAGTGACACGGTTTAGCATTCTGCCAATCAGCTGCTCAGGAGTTTATGGCACTTTATATTTTTAGCGATTTTTAATAACATCTTTAGTACTATTGCCAAGATTTTGTAAAAGATTGATGTGAATGAAAGATTAGCAAGATTTCCGGATTTCCAAACACACACACACACACACACACACACACACACACACACACACACACACACACACACACACACACACACACACACACCACACACACACACACACACACACACACACACACACACACACACACACACACACACACACACACACATACACACATAACAACAACAACAACAACAACAAAAACAACAACAAGCCCGTCGACGTTTACATTAGTTACGCTTCTATACAATATGACCAACATACAGTTTCTATAATTATCAGCTTTCGTAAAGTTTTTCTCAGTATTCAAAAACTCAAGAAACGTTTTATCACTTACCTGTCGTACCACCATCCACCAGAAAAGAAAGAAGCACAATTGCCACTGGCGTAAAGGTCATTATCCCGATCGTTTGACGTGAAAGCGCGACCATGATGGTAAGTGAAGGCATCCGTTGCATTTCCAGAATACTCTCCAATGTCGAGTTGGTAGCCAGACCTTTCACTACCAACGCGGAAGTTGCTGTTGATAAAAAAAAAAAATGTATGGTGGGGTAGGTGGGGGTAGTTACAAAAAGGTATTCGCGTCAGAAGTCTTTCACGAGAAAAAAGAAAGACAAGTTAACGTTCAATAACATTTTCTGTATAAAACGTGTCATAGAAAATGATTGAGTTTTAGGGGAAACTATAGAATAACACGGGTTTGGAATCATTATCTATGGTGCTACTTATTCATTTGACCCTATGAGCCGGGATGGCACGACATATATACTGTGTCCACTGTGCTTTTAGATTATTAATTTTGTTTACACCTAGATGACTACACACCTGCTCAGTCACTAGAGAAATAAATGCTAGCTTTATCTATCTCACCTTTTCAGTCTTTCCATTGAATTTCGATTTTTTGGCGTTTAATATCTCAATTACTCAATAATACTCATAATGTCAAAATAATGATGATGATGACAATGGTACTAGTGCTAATACTAATACTCATACTAATAATAATGATAATAATAATGATAAAATTGAAAATAATAACTTATTATGCTAATAATAGTAATGATAATAATGGCAATTATAATACTAACAATAATGACAATTATTATTATAATAATAGTAATATCATTAATAGCATCAGATATTTTTTCCGAGATTCAAGAATTGAGGAGTAACAATTAACATATCTCACGTGTTCATCCTTATCCTAATTTATCGGATTTATCATTTATTATTATTATTATTATTATTATATATATATATACTTTTTTGCTTCTTAATATCATAATAAGCCTGTTTTAATCATATGAAAAGGTAATAGTAATACTTAATAATAATAATAATAATAATAATAATAATAATAATAATAATAATAATAATAATAATAATATAAGCAACATTAGAATTTCTTTCTGAATATTCTAGGAAACAGGAATTGATTTGAAATTACGCGGGAACTATTATTTAGCTCCTGACTGTGTACTGCACATATACATTTAATTAGAATGGATTTTTTTCTTCTAATAAGCAACTATTCTATATTTTAATGTTATGCATAGACATATATCACACTGAATTTTTGACTGTCTATCAAGTATTTAAAAAATAGTTTTCTCCTTCACTTGTACGTAGTGTTATGTTATGCATATACATATATCACTTCATTTTTGACTGAAGTATTTAAAAACTCCCTCACTTGTAAGAGGCCCAGTAAGGTCCCTTTTCAAAGTCGACCATGTCTATGTAGACCTTGTATGTCTTCTGGTTGGTGAGGACGTGCAGGAAGTCGTTCCCAGCCCAGAACTCGCTCTCCAGGTCTCCGAAACCCGCTTTGTACTCGTGCCAGTCCTGGTTGAAGTCGACCTGGGATGAAGAACAATAGTTCGCATTATTTTTCAGTTTAATGTCTTGGAGCCTACGCAGAAAATAAATAAATAAATAAATAATAAAAATAAATAAATATCAACGTTAGTAATTTTCACAAAAGTCTATAGATACTGAAGGTCTCCCTGGCTTGCTGTCGTACCTGATCAACCACCTTTGCACGGCGTTGGATGACAAGCCAACCGCCGTCGCCAGACTCCATGTCGCAGAGGACCTGCCGTCCGAACTTCTGCAGGAAGTACACTCCAGAGGCGTTGAAGCCCATGTCGTACAAGTCCTGGCAGTCTCCGGCCATGAGGTTGTGGGACAGCCTGGTGAACCTTGACACGGTGTCCTCCATTTCCTTCGTCTTCGCCTCCACCAGGAGCTTCACGTCGGAAAGCTTGTGCAGGACCTGGTTCTGGAACTTCTGCAGCTCGGTGGTGGTGCTGTCGGCGGCGTTGTTGACGGAGTCCCTGACCGAAGTGGTGTGCTCCGTCAGCGTCGCCAAGGACTCGTTCAGCTCCTCGACGGCGTCCATCAGGTCCTGCAGCGTGTTGCTCTTCGCAGCGTTTTCTTGCAGCTGACTGATGGACTGCGTGAGCTGCTTCGTCGTGTTGACAAAGAGGTCCCTGAACATTCTGAAGTCGTACTCTCCAACGACATCCTCGAGCATCGTCATCTCGTAGCTACGGCAGGCCGCCAGGAGACCCAGCACGAGGAGAACGATTGACGCTCTCGACGCCATGATGGTCTCCTCTCTTGGCCTGAGGAACCGCTCTGGCGAAAGGGTGGCAACGGACATTAATTCCTTCCACTGTCTAAAGGCAAAATTGCTTGATTCAACGCAGTATCAAACATAAAAGCTCAATAAAATGAAGGAAAATTCACAACTCGCTACGAAAATCTCTCCTCAACCTTGACCAAATGTCATGTAAACAAACAGACAGCGGAGCTCAACCGATATAACCATATTGTCTTACCGAAAATATAACAACGCATGGTTTCAAACTAATACCTCATCCCTTGCTAATCATCATCCAGACTTAAACAAATATATAATCTGTGGTGAAAAGATTAACGGGAAATAATTTTCATGTTTATTCTCTGGCCCGCGAAGATATTCACCTTTATACAAGCTGGACTGTATGTGTTACTACCATACGTTTTATATTTATTTTTTCTGCGCTGCACTTGAGTATGTCTCGAAGCTGGGTCAGTGTGTTATCGTATAAGCAGGCGTCCTAAATTCTTTACTTTTGCATATTTCTTGATTCCTCGTGCGAGAGACAGAACGATTTCATAATTGCCCGGTCTATGCAAGCCCTAGAAACAGGATTAACAACATCTGAGAAACACCTCTTATGCAATATCTGTTACGAATGACTTTCAGAATGAATAGGCAATTAAACGGAACCTATAGGTCGTGGCTTTTTTATTTATCGCCCGTGTATTTGGGAAGAAAAAAGTCATC